GTGACGCATAAAAATCAAATAATCAAAATCAGCTATACCCAGTCAATGTCACCGATAATTGATTTCAATTTCGTCAAGAGTTGTGTGTGTTTGAAGGACCTACTTTTTTTAAAATGATTCGTTAGTTACTTTTGCATCATAGCAACATGTCAGCTTTGATTTATGTTGACTTGTATAGTTGATTTTTTTTTCATTCTTCTGTTTGAATTCTTTCCAACTAGGCACACTATTGGAAAGTATTGTGCATAGCAACATTAATAATTTTAAGGCAAAGAGCACACGATGATTTATTGTCAGCAAAAAAAAATACATCTACGAAAGAATTCAGCTCTTAGGAAGTAGATATGTCTCTATCCTTTTCTGCACAGTGTACAGTAGTTGATATCGTTTAAAAACAGACAATGACTACCGAAGATAAACTTCGTTTTGTGCTGATGAAACTGTTTGATTTAGGACGATTAGTAGCATATGATTTTTCTACAATTATGATTTCTTGTTTATTTCATTCCTAAATAGACGAAAGTTAAATTATTATGAACAGTAAACATAATTACTGCGAATTGATAAAAAATATTAATAATTTTCAATATAATTAGTTTAATATTTCTTAAATAAAATTCAAATTTTAAAAGATCCTATAAATTCATATTATTCGTTTGAATTATCTATTTTCTTGCTGTCCATTCGATAATGCTAAAGAAAAAAAAACATTTTTAACAATAACAGGGTTTACTTTCTGCGTAATGTATACGGCGACAAGCCAACCTTGTTACGCATCAGGAAAAGAAATTTTTTTGAAATATATGAAATTCCATTAAAATTTGACTTTAAAAGTGCATAAATTACAAAAAATTACTGGAAAATATAATACAGTTATTCTTTCCAAAGCATTTTTTTGTCAGTATTTGAATGTCAAAACAAATACTGAAATATAACATCTTTACTGAAGTCAAATTTCGTCAAAAAATCATCTGAATTTTTTTGAAAAAATGTATTATATTTAGAATCACAATGTAAAAACAAACTGGAAACTTGATTTTTTTTGTTGCAATGCATTTTCCATAGAAGCTAAACATATTGAGGAATTGAAGGTTAAATTAGACAAATAAAAGTCAAACATTGTATGACGATATACAAGGATGTGAGTGTACATAAACCTATCAATGTAAATGAACCCCTACTGTTTCTTGCTAAAATGATTTTTGATTTATATTACATTCATTTGAAATACTTAGGTATATGTAAAATGAAAAAATTTTTTTGAATATGCCAATAATTGATTTAATTTTAATTCCTTTCAGTCAGAGAGACATGTTATTTCAATTTTGTTTGACTACATTCAAGATTTGCTGAATTTAAGCATGTACCGCAGCATCAACAAGAAACTATTAAGCCATACACCTCTGCATTAGTAGAACTATGTTTATTATAATGAAATATCAATGGAAAAAAGTCTAATGTATCGTGTTTTCAATAGACATAGACGTTGAAGCATTAATATTATTGTAAAGATCTATTCTATGCTATATATTGAAAACAATAAACGTTTTCTGTGTTAAATTTTATTATAAAACTTGTATAATTATCAACAATTTTTGATTGTATGCATGCGAAACAACAAAGAAAAATACATTAACAACGAACAACTCAACACAAGAAAAATGCATACTGTTGTATTTATATTATTGTTACCATCGTCGTTTCTTTTTTTTTGTGTCCTTGTTCGCACAGTGAGTAACTATATAAGAAGATCGAATCTATAAACAAAGAAATGTTGAAGAAAATGTAGATTGCACTTATTTTTCTTTCAATGTAATTGCATCTCGTCAAGAGCTTTTTTGCAATACTTTGTCTCTCTAATTCTATCAAGTTAGAAAATTCTGATGAATAAAAATATATTAAAATTAATTTAAAATTATTCATTGCATTGTATTCATTTCTTTTCTCTTCATAGTTATTCATTCACAATCATCAAATTTCGCTAAGTTCAAAAGATTGTTAAAATTAAACGCGTATTCAAGAATCTTTTGTCTAAAACTTTCATTGTCTTGTCTGATAAGGAATATTTCCAAATATCTTATTCATCTAAATAAAAATACTTCAAAAGCTTTCTTAATTGGCTATGTGTGAGACTGTGAGTAGTGGCGTATACAGAGGGGGCTAGAGAGAGCTCAGCTCCTTCTACAGAGGCTTGAGCCCTCTAGAAGGTTTCTGACTCCTTTGGTTGAAGGAAATTATCTCCCTAGTCGAGACTTCCCAGAAAAATCCTGAGGAAATCTGTGTTGTGAGTCTCTGTGGAAGTTAAGAGGGGATTCAGAGACTCTCCGGGGACTTCGCAGGGACTTGATAGGGACTTCTCAGGGAGTTGATAGGGACTTCTCAGGGAGTTGATAGAGACTTCTCAAGGAGTTGATAGGGACTTCTCAGGGAGTTGATAGGGACTTCTCAGGGAGTTGATGAGTAATATCAAGGTCTTTCCAGAAGCCACCATTGGAACTCTCTGAAAAATTCAAATTTATTAAAATTTTCGAGGGATTTCATAAAATTTGAGGCTCCCCCGGGGAATTCTGAGATATGCAACTCCACCAGAGACTCACGACAGTGATTCCACATTTTTCAGGGGACTCTCCGGTGATTTCGTTGGGGAGAGTCGACTAGGGCTGTGACTTGTGTATTAATAGGAGTATACATATGGTTTATTCAAAATAGAAAGCATTTATAACAGAGAGAAGTCCAGATCTTCAAGAGATATTTGTTAAAAAAAGTGTAGTGTATAGTTTTCGTGCATTTTGAAAAATTTTCGTTTCGCCAATGAGATGATTTCTGTAACATTTCGATTATGCTGACTTCTTTTCTTCATTTCAGTTTTTGAATATGAAAAAGGACTTCATTAATTATTGAGTGGCTTCGCCAATGAAAGAAGGTAAATGACATAGTTTTGTGGCTATCATTCCGGAATCGTGAGTTCCTATTTGAATGAATTATACGATTTCAAGACAATTATTTTAATTCTGTTTCGAGAAGCTATCGTCTTCAGCGTTGTGTTCTTCTGAAACAAATAATGAATGTTTATTTCGTCTACAATTATTTCGTTGTCAAAAAAATGTAAATTTTACTAACGAGGGAAGGTTCCCAGGTGTTCAAGCCATTTAGATTCCATCTTTTGGCCATAAGTAGATCTCAATGAGGTATGAAAGAGCCGAAAAGGATTGATTTCCTCGCGCATTTATTTCTGAGATATTGAATTTTTCAAGATATGGTATAAGGAAACGAGAATAAAATGATCAATGACTCTTCTTGAGAAAAGTGAAACATTAAGGACTGAAGCTTTTTTTCAGTCTTGAGGGTGTGGGTATGAGTTAAAAGAAGGACCATACCTTCACCACAGCCCACACGAAACCCGCACACCCACCCACATCCACATCTTGAAAGACATTCATATCTGATATAGTCAACTATAGACAGAAATATAGTCTGATAGTTACAACAATAAGAGATATATTTGATCTGGCTGTTAATGCTTATGACAAAGAAATTAAGTAATCTGACTTATTAAAACAAATCTTTTAATAAAATCATGACTACAATAATCACATAAGACATTTAGTTATCAATGTCCTAACCAGCAGCTGAGAGAATTTATTAGATAATAATGTCAATATGTTCAATATATGATAGTTCTTATTGAGAATTATAACTTCAGGTAATTAAATTACTTTTATCGGTGCAACCATTAGACTACATTTCTGCTTATAGTTGCCTATATCAGATATGAATATCTTTCAAGATGTGTCTTATTGTAGGCACGTGTACAGGTTAACTTATCATTACTTACAATTCCAAATAGAATTAAATTAATAAAATATTGACTATCCGTTTCATTGGCTTATGAGGGCATTCGGCAAATTTGTAAATTTTCTCGAGAAATTCTCATTCGAAAGAGCTGAAATTTTCATAGTAAGTCGAGCACTTCAATATCTATCTATGATATAAATATGAGCCCAAATCATGTTAACAGAGAAAAATTATGGCAAGAACAAATTGTTTAGTTTATTGTGACCAGGGAGATATATTAACCTGATAGAAACTGAGAATATTCTCGGAAACAATTAGAGAAGAGAGAGATCATGACGCCATTATACTCTAGCAGCAAGAATGAAGGATATTTAAAACGAAAGTATATGAGAGAAAGAAGAAAAGTATGGGATGACAAATACGATTGTCAGCGACCTTAATGACATTGCATATTTAATAGTTTAACGTAAGCTAAATACTTTTTCTCTATTGGAAAACAGGTGGAACAACATATGTCCTGCGATTCTCAAAAGGATAGATAGATCTGCCGACCCTTAGAATATCTTGAATGTTTCGTCTAGAAAGTATACTCGTTCGTCGAGATATTGGATTTTCAAGAAAATAATCTCTTGCCACAGACATATTGCAAAACTTGAGTTTACTTGAAAGTTCAATATCTCGAAAAGGATTATGCTTTTTGTAAGGAACTTTCAGCATATTCTATGGGCCAGCAGATCTCTCTATGGACAGAATCTTAGGTCGATATTCCATCATTTGATTTTCGAGAAATACCTAAAAATCGGTCGAAAGTTCAGGAAAACGATCACAACTCACGTTCAAAGGCTCATGGGCACGAATCCATTTAGGCTTTTGCTTGTTTCATTGAAACCTCCTTGTGAACTCAATATGAGCTCAAACAGTGGGCGACACCTCAGTTGGTTCCGTGGTGATTACTTAGTGTGCATCGGTTGATTCTTCATCATCACTCTTTTGAATATTGGATGATGACAATTTATTAGAATTAATCAGATATTTCAGTCGACTCGATTTTTCATTTCATTTTCGATTATTTATTATTACACTATAACTTATTGGATCCTACTCGTCAAAGTATTGTTACGAAAAAATAAGCTATAAAAATTATCAAAGTAAGATTCAACAAAAAACTTTAAAAAAATCCGTGTCTGCATGAAAATATCTTGATATCATTTTGAGATAGATTTCTGACTTTCCTGAAGAAGTTTAATTTTGTTATTTAAAAATGGTAAAAAATGTCCAAAGTAACGTTCTTGTAATTCTGGTCTCATCCAATCTTTCAGTGTGATTAAACGTCGACATTGATCCGATTTACACTGACACGATTCCGTTATAACTATATCATCATCCGAAATCATTGCATAATCAGTAGTTATTTCATCATTACGATTAATCGGTGACCTAACTACGACCGTACATTCATCTTGTAACCATGTGTTCGGATTACATGAATGATTCATATATATATCATTTGTTGGTGGATCATTAATATTCATACATAAATAATATTCATCATCAAGAGGAACAATACTATCACGATGTACTTGATTCAAAAGAGTTTCTAATGGTGTTGTTCTTGGCCATAACTGACCACCACAGACAATAATTATTTCACCAACAGCTAATGGTTCGCGTGCAAATAAACCTTTGCCATGTATTGGTGATTCACGCACTTCAATACGTTTATCAATCCACGAACTATTTCGGTATACTTTTGCTGTCGTCATTTCTGCAAACCAATGAATACGACAATACTTCCTCTATAAAATATAGTCTTAATAACTAATTGTATTTTTTAAGAGAAGTGATGATACTTTTTTCCGTTTCCTTTTTGGGGATGAATATATAGTGTAGAGTGAGAATAGTAAGCATGTATAGTGTGTGAACAGAACGAAGAGATGAGAAAAAATATTATTATTTTCCAATTAACTTTTAATTTTGTCCTTATGAGGCATTGCACGTAAGCCACGACAAATTCAAGCAGACCCTTGCTCAATTGATGCCACCGATTTGACTGATACTTTAACAGCAGATAGACATAAGAGGATGGCGGGTGTGGGTGTGGGTTAGGTGTGCGTGTGGGCTGAATGGGGTGTGGGTGTGGGTGTGGCTATGCTTGTGGCTATCACTTGAGAGAATACGGACATCCAAGCCCACACCCACACTAACACGCACACGCGGAATTACAGCCAGTTATCAGCCTCAGCCGATGACTGTGATACCAAGGCTAAGAGATTCCGGAATCACTAGGAATTCCGTCGAATTCCTTCCAAATCCTTGTGATTCCGGATCCGTTCGATACCCGGAATTACATCCAGTTGTAAGCCTCAGCCGATGAGAGTGATACCAAGGCTGAGCGATTCCGGAATCACTAGGAATTTCGCGGAATTCCTTCCAAATCGTTGCGATTTCAGAGCCGTCCGATACCCGGAATTCCGTCCCGGAATTGCATCCAGTTATAAGCCTCAGCCGATGACTGTGATACCAAGCATGAGCGATTCCAGAATCACTAGGAATTCCGCGGAATTCCTTCCAAATCCTTGCGATTCCGGATCCGTTCGGTACCCGGAATTCCGTTCCGGAATCAGATCCAGTTATAAGCATCCACCGATGAGAGTGATGGCAAGGCTGAGCGATTCCGGAATCCCTAGGAATTCCGCGGAATTCCTTCCAAATCCTTGCGATTCCGAATCCGTTCGATACCCGGAATTCCGTCCCGGAATTACATCCAATTATAAGCCTCAACCGATGAGAGTAATACCAAGGCTGAGCGATTCCGGAATCGATAGGATCTGTTGTAAATGATTCCGGAATCGGATTGTTACGTGGTGAAATTTAGTTCCGGAATCGGTGGAATAAATTCCGGGACGGGAACTGATTCCGGAATGTTCAACATCGCGGAATAGGTTGTATTCTCAATGACTAAGCTCTTGACTTTGTCTTAGTTTCTGCTGATTTCTGTACACTTTTGCTACTTGTCGCTATTACTTTCTCTTTTATTCTAACAATACTAATCTTGTTTCACATACAAAGTCATACACCACTGTGCATATCACTCACACGTGCATATGTCGTTGTTCAATCTTACTCAAACCACTTAGTATCATCCACTGAATATATTCTTCACTCCTCTCTTTTTCTTTTTCATCCTAACCTTCTCGTGAAGAGAGAGAACAATGAGAATATATGCAAGATGTAATGCAACGATTGCACAAGCGTTGACAGAGAACAGTGAATAATGGAACAATTACAATGGCAATGAAGAAGTATTGAATGCTAAGAGCAGTACTATGGAGATATTTGAGGATGACATCATACCACAGTGATGTAGAATAGGAGTGATACAGTTCAAAGGATGATAAGTGATATAGTGCAAAGATGATGTGAAAGAAGAGTAATATAATGTAAGGATGACATTACATACACGTGATAGTGTGTATACAATGTAATGATACTATGAAATACACGTGATAAAATGTAAGAATGGTGTGAAATACAAATGATAAAATATTATATAGGCGTATCTCTTGGCATAGTAATAAAAGTGTCTCATCGTTGGATGATTTTTGTCTGGTATTATAGACCATTTTCAGAAAGTATCCTCGCGTAGATACGGCAAGTTGGTCGAATCAATGCTCTAGAATAAATAGAGAGTACCAAGTGAAAAATATTCACTGATTTTAATGGGATTTTTCTGCAACAAAATCAAAATTAAGATTGATTGATAATTTTGATTATCGTTGACCATGACTTAACTATTACTTGATATTATTACTTATCCAGTATGAAATTCTTCGATTCAAATCGGATTATTTTGTAGAAAAATCGAAATTATCAATTGATTTACAGTCTTGATTTTGCTGCAAAATAAACTGATTTTCATCAAAAAATTTCACACTGGATAAGTAATAATGTCAAATAATAGTTAAGTCATAATCAACGATAATCAAATCTCATCTAAAAGAGCACATCAAAATGGTCCGACTGATGTTTTCAAAAGTTTGTAATATTAAACTTTGATAGGAAAAGCTTTTTGAACACGATTAGAAAGGCCAAATTTGGGACCTGATTCTCAATATGCAGATTGACGATTTATTTCCAAATATTGAATCTAAGTATTTGAGATAAAAGCCCCATGTTGAGAATGCTCTAAACTAAAAATTTCAGCTCATTTGAAGTTGTCTCTGTGAAAATAGTGGAACATTTATTTTTGTGAAATATCATAGGATAGTATATATGGTCCGTCTAATTTTTCTCATATGCATATTTCAATTAAATTACAACCAAGAGATCTGAAACTTTCATCATAAGTTATACTCATCAACCTCTATCTATGTATAAAGTTTCAGGTCAAAATTTGAACTTTGATTTTTTTTTGAAATTATCTATGGGAAATCACCGTGGTCCCCATCAGCACCATGAAGAAAAATCAAAATTCGAATTTTGACCTGAAACTATGTGTACATTAAGGACTCAAAGAGAATATTTTATAATGAAAGTTTCAGATCTTTTGGTTGCAGTTTAACTGACGTATGAATATGAGAAAAATTAGACGGACCATATATACTATCCTGTGATATTTCACAAAAATGAATGTTTCACCATTTTTCACAGACAACTTCAAATGAGCTGAAATTTTTAGTTTAGAGCATTCTCGACATGGACTTTTATCTCAAATACTTAAATTCAATATTTGGAAATAAATCGTCAATCTACATATTGAGAGTCAGGTCCCAAATTGGACCTTTCTAATCTTGTTCAAAAACTTTTTCCTATCAAAGTTTAATATTACAAACTTTTGAAAACGTCAGTCGATGAATTTTGATGTGCTCTTTCAGATGAGACTACTCTCGGTTTATTCTAAGACGCTGATCCGATCAACTTGCCGTATCTACGTGAGAACGTTTTCTGAAAACGGTATATAATGCCTGGCAAAAATCATCCAGCGATGAGATACTTTTATTACCATAAAAATATAGCCCATCGTCAAGAGTATTGGTGATAAAAAATTTCGATTACATCTCTTGTTTTTCTCGAGAAAATGGAGATTTACTGGAAAGTATTGCACTATAAAGTACTCCAAATAGGACCTACCCCTTCATACTTGTATCGTCTATATTTCCAAAATAGCTCATCCGTTTGATCTGAAATTATCAGTTTCTTCGTAATACTCTTACATCTACCTACTGTAAAAGTATCAGCCAAATTCGTGAGATTGATTGAGCAATGTTGGTCGTGACTTACGTGCAATGTCTCATAAAAAAAAGCAATTCTTGATAGCATCGAATTAAATAGTAAAGATAAACGAAAAACTTACTCCCAAGGGACCTTTAGGATACCCTGTATATGTAAATTTTGTGCGGCATCATTTTCTTATTATTTCAAAAAGTAAATCTAATGTCCATTTCAGAGTTAAATGGACGTGGCCATTTTTTGAATAACTTTTGATCAACTAAGATTATCGAGCTCGGAGTTGCATAGTTGGAAAGAGCGGACTCCAATGCATCTTTCTGTATAACTCATTTGAGTCCACGGACACTTTTTTACGACTGTTTATGCATCGGTATATTGTTTTTATGTTTTTTCCACGACTTTTTCTGGCGTTCTAATCCCCGTTATATCAAATTGTAGCCGGAATTCAGCTGTATGTATGGTAAATTTTCGGCATCTCTAT